CTACGACGACGACGACGACGACTGCTACTGCTACTGCTACTGCTACTCCGACGACGACTACGACTACGACTACGACTACGACGACGACGACGACGACGACGACTACGACTACCACTACGACGACTACTACTGCTACTACTACTACTACGACGACGACGACTACTGCTACAGTACTACGGGTTTAGTACTTAAGTTTTCTGCTGATTCGACACTATGCAGCTAAACATTCTTTGTGTTGTAGCTGCATTCACACACAAGTTGCGGCAGTCGGGCTCAGCCAAACTATCTGGTGTGCGGGCTTAGCATTGGAATCGATAATCCTTCTGGAGTTTCGGTGGGGCTGCAGAACTTGTAGAATTGCCCCGGATATTCTCAAAAGCAAGCGATCTCCTGTAAGACACTCTTGTGATGCATCTACTGCGCTCAGCACGTTTAGGATTTTCTTCCGAACTTTCATAGCGGCTTGAAATGGACCATCACTGGGCACACCCTTAAGCGGGGCGAAACGTGTCATGTTTGCTTGATTCTTGAATATCTTTAACTATCCTTCACTGCTGGGGCATGTTGCTGCGCCTTGAAATTCAACATCCTTACTGCCGAACGACAACTCCCACTGGGCTTTTTGGCAGAAATGAAGGGAGCGACCAAACTGTCGGGTGTTAGTCACTCTGAAGGATGTTGCGCAAGGTCTTCTTCCAAGCTCTTCAGCATTCTCACCACCGCCGGGTCCAAGCTTTCGACCCGCATTTCACGTGCCACTTGGAGTGCAGTTTGGCCCTTGTCATTGCGAGCGTTTACGTCTGCCCTGCCCTTGAGGAGCATGTGAACCATCTCCGTCCCAGAATGCCCACGGCCAACTGCGAAATTTTCGACAGCCACGTGCAGGGGTGTCTTGCCGGCCTGGTCCTTCAAATGGATGTCTGCCTGAGGATGTGCTGAGGCTCTTCCATACACCCATAAGCCCTAGACCCCGAAACTCAAATCTAAAGAATCTGCAGGAGTCCGCCTGTTTCATGAGCAGCAGGCTAACCGTTTTGGCACCCCCGTGCTTCGCAGCGTAGTGCAAGGCAGTCCGACCAGCGACCGGCTCCTGGAAGACCATCGGTAAAGCTGCTGAAGGCTTGAGGATTTCGGGCTGTGGGCTTTAGGGTTAGCTTTGTGTGCTTGTCAGACTTTGCTTGTGCTCTGGACTTATCGACATCAAATAACGTTTGAGAGTTATAAAGCCACAAAACCGTTGAGACAAACCCCGGTGGTGTCAAAATTGTACAGCGGCTTTCAAAGGTTAGGATCTTACAACATGTTACAAAGGACTGGACATTTGGAACTGATTGAGTTAAGAGCCCTATTAGCTTCCAAAACTCTGCAAATGCTCCCCCCCCCCACCCCCCTCACCATCTCCCCCATCTCCTTCCGCCCCCTCGCCCTGGGCCTGCCCGCTAACGCGAGAGATTCGGGCCTGCCGATTTCCTCGGTATGGCCCAGATCTTACAAACGGGAATGGCCAGATCTTGACCCTCAAAGCCATGTCAATACACAGAATGATCGTGCATTCAATGTAAGGAAGAAAGATGGTGCTGGCGGCAGCAGCAGCAGCAGAAGTGACGAACATATGGTGATAACAACAGTGATAACTCCTAACCCAATACTGATCATTTTAACCGGAGTAGTGAAAACAACTGCAACAGAACTTGCCAGAACAAGAAGAAGTCTAGGGCATAGCAGCCACGATTGGCAGTGATGAAGCGAGTGTCTCCTGGTAGCGGATGTCTGCCTTCTGCTCCAGCAATCTGCTGACCACGTCCCGTTTGCCGAGCCATGCAGCTTTCATCATGTCATCATCCTGCGCGATCTTCTTCTTCTGCACCTGTGGAGATCGCAGAAATTTCACAGGCGCAGGGCCCAGACCCGCTCATTAAATGCTGCAAGATGAATACCCTCAACGGCTTATGATCCAACACTGCGCGTATGTGGCTCAGTCGTTTGCTCCTCAAACCCACCCTGGAAGCAAAAGATAGCTTCGCGCACCAACACCACCGACAGTGACAATCACCACGGTAAATCGCAGAGCCCCGCGGCAAGCCCTCAGCCCCAGCCCGTGTCACCAAGAACGCTGCACGCATCACCACGAGTGCTGCGAGCGAATCTAACCTGTCGCCGCTTCTCGACCAGAATCGACTCTCGTTTAGCAGCAATTTGACCTTGAAAACGCTCCATGCGTCTATAGCCCTCCTAAATCCTCTCACCCATGCTCCATGCGTCTACAGTCCGAGCAGGGCCACAGTATCCGAATTCCGTTTTGTAACCCTGCTTCTATGAGGCATCGGTGCCTTCAAAATTGCTCGGAGTGTCTGATGCCCTGGCAGTACCACACTACTCGGCCTCTGAGGCTCTTCTAACTGGTTTCGTTCTAGCCGCTCTTACGACAAATTTTGTTGTATACTAACACTTTATAATGATTATATAATAAGTAGCAACCTCTTGGGACTATATGCGAACAGGAATGAAAAAGCCATGCTTCCTAAGGATCGCACAAAACCAAACCCTGACGTTGAAGCTGGCCTGCTGCACAGTCTTCACGCGCGCGGCCAGCTGCTGGTCGAGCTTACAACTGGACTTCGGACAGTTCCAGCACTGCCAGGTGACACGAGATTTCGCAGCAAACTCTTGCGACCTCCAATGATCCTCGAAGATTGCTTGATTTCCAAGATAACAAGAAATTCGCAATCCCAGCCGGAGTAGTTGCGAGGCTAGCACAGCCATGACAATGACAACAGTCGTGCAGGCTCATCAAGTTGACTTACGGCGTGTGATGTGACTCCTTATCGATGAACTCCCTGCCAAGCAGGGCCCTCCGAGCAGAGCCTTTCTATTGTGGGAGGCAGGATTTGATCAGGGACCCACGTGAAAAGACATTGGCCAAGAGTTGGCCGAAGGTTTGCCCAGAGCTACTTTGCAACGGTTACACACCAAATCCAGGGAGCGACAAACCGCACAAGGTCACCAACGATGATGACGGCGATGACGATAACCAACATCACTATTCCAACGACACGGGAAATAGCGTGTACTTGTCGGCAATGTGCGAAACTTGGGCCCGTCTCACGTGGTTTTCTGCTATTAGACGTGCGACAGTGATAGACTAACCCGCAACGAGAGTACTGCAGCCAGTAGTAAAGGAAGCAACAATCTCAACAACGGCTCTTTTTGCTCCTTAGACTTGGACGGTGGTAATCACGCTGATAACAAGACCGGCATCGTATTGGTAATAATGACAGCTGGGATACGAGCGAGAACAGAAACTGCAATACTTGCTCATCGTTACGGAACGATAGTCATAATGATCCGAATCCGAACCAGAAGCCATTGTTTAGTGGAAAAAAGTCGAGGTCCTTCCTCCTGTCAATATACCAAGGTTTCAGAGCTCCAAACATCTGCCTGCGCAGCGCCGGGCTCGTCCGGGCACACGTGCCTTTCAAGTCGATGAGGAGCACGGTGGGAGACCAGTAGCCCAGGCCCCACGCCGCAAGCCCCAGCGTCGGCACCTCGTATTTGAAGAGAACTGACCTTTGCAAGGAGCGCTCGCCCTCAAACGCCTTATTCACCAAAGCAACGATGGCGTTCTGACCTTTCTTCCGCATGCCGGAGACGAAGGCAAAGCTTGCCAGCTTCCAGAGATTCTCTACCAAGTACTGTTCGTTGGTGTCAGAGCAACGGCCCAAGGCCCCGTGCTCTTCGATGAGAGTTCCCAGTACTGTGTCAGGATGCACGGTGTCGTGATTGGTTCGCTGTGCAAACTCCGCTAGCGTCTCGACTGAAGTCCTTCTCCGCTTCCCATGAGAATCATGGGGATCTGTCCAAAAACCAGCCCAAATAAGTGCATCCTTTTTGGCGGTTGCCAGTGGGACGAACCAGGACTTGAGAAAGTCCAGGCTTTGCACGAAAGGTAAAGTCGCTTCTGGCACCTTGCCATCTGCCACCAGCTCCAGCGGCACGCGATAGGCGCCCACCAAGTCCTCGCCGTGAAAGAAGATGTCTTTAGCGCTCTCCGTGCAAGTCTTCGGCTTCAAGCCGAAGGGAGCGAACAGCTGGCTGTGATCGTAAGTATGAGCGTCCGCCAGTCCGGCCCCGGTTTTCTCAATGCAGGCGTCGATGAGAGCTTTCAGGAGTCCACCCAACTGGTGCTGGCAAGTTGTGTTGTCCGTTCGCCCATCCAATGCCCCTTGCAGAAACAGGACGCTCCTTTCTCGGGGGGCCCTGAACATGGGGTAGTATGCCTGGGAATGTCCTGACTCTGGCAACTCGCGCTGCAGCTCGCTCTGAATTTGCTCCGCGCTGACCGCCTCCCCCTCTACCACCCTCGGCGCCAAGACCGTGTCCTGCAACCGGTGCGCCCAGACCGTGTCCTGCAACCGGTGGCTCAAGGCACCTCCCAGCAGCCACATCGCGAGTAGAACCGGGGAAAGAACCGCCATATAGTTCCGAACAAGCGATACTCTGACTACTCAGCACTGGCCATTCGGAGTGGGCAAAAACAATTCGCAAAGCAACGAGGGACTGCCATGGGAAGCCTGCGGAAAGTTGCGGACACGATCGGCACGACCTCTCCTGTTTTCTGTCAGCGCTGCACACTGCGAAACTCTTAATCCTGAATCCCAGCCTCTCGAAATCCGACAAAGTAGACCTAAACCCAAACCCTCAAGCAACAGCTCTGAAGCATGCTCTCCGAAAAATCCGATTAAGGACTCGCCGAAGACGGGAAGTGAGCCTCGTCCGACTAAGTTTTGTCACGGGGTTAGGAACCCATACTATGACAAATTATGGTAGAATAAATAATATGATATGATGGAATGATGGAACACAACATAATGACGAATGTACCCGCAATTACGGTCATGTGACCTTTCAGGAAGACAACGAAAGACCATGAGCCCTGCCTCGTGTTAGTGGCCTGGCTCCTGCTCACCGATCTGCTCAAGGGCCGCCTCCTGTTGAAGAGCCGGCCGACTCCGGGCAAAGGTTTTAGAGTGTGGAGTTTGCAGTTCGGCAGATTTCATTAGGTTTGGGGCTTACGAGGCTTTACCCTAAACCCTAAACTCTTGAAAGGTTGGTGGAGTTAAGGCTCTTGGGCCGTAGGGTTTGAGGCCTCGGGAGGTCGCACGTGCAGCTCTGGGATCGGCTAATAACCCTTAAGGTCCGGCCCAACTTCCAAACCGCAACAACTGAACCCTTAACCCCAAGTTTTGGGTTTAGGGTTTAGACCCT